TACGAGGTGTTGAGGAACATCTGCAAGAACAAGGGCGTATTGCACGCCAACGGGACGTGTACGTGCGCGCCGGGATTCGAGGGCGAATATTGCCAGACGGGCGTTTGCGACGGTTACTGCGCGTACGGGACGTGCACGCTGTCGGACGCGGGACAGCCGACGTGCCAGTGCTCGGAGACCAGCTACGGTGACCGGTGTGATAAGCAACTGTGCGCGGGTCGGTGCCAGAACGGCGGCGATTGCACGATGGACGGGGCCGGCAACCCCCGGTGCGAGTGCCCGGTGGGGTACGCGGGTGAAGCGTGCGAGTACAAGGCGTCGTGGCTGAACGAGGTGTGCACGGTGTACTGTCAGCACGCCATGTCCAAACAGCAACAGTCGTCCGTCTGCAGGTGCGATTATAATTAAATAATTAATTGATTAGTTCATCGAAAAATATAAACTATTTGAAAAAAACCTATAGGTATTCGAGCACTCTTGTTCCCGAGGACTTGTGTACTTTACTATAGGTTCGATGCGATGTATATATAGGTTAGGGTTAGGTTAGGGTGTACATTATTAAAAAAATATTATGTTTTCAACGCCAGTTGTGTGWGGTTCAACATCGTCTCGGTCATTTGTGGTGCACGAGGAAAAACAATGCACTTATACATACTAATCAAACTTACTTTACTTAAATTACGATTTTGTATAAAATTCAAATTTTGAYGGTCGAGATTTTTTTCTTAGGATTTTTAATCTTTTGTAAAGACATTGAAACCTTTAATTTCGTCACTTACGGAYGAAGCAATTCAAAAAACTAATTATTCAGTGTTTAAATAARAGTATTTKGCTTCATGTTAYATGGGAATATGGGATTAAAAACAAAGATTCATTAAAATATATTATTTTAGCAGCYAATAGTTTTATCTACTATTTCAAAATATATGAAAAAAAGGTTTTTAGTCTATCACCAATATTTTACATGGATAACGATAATGGTTCACGTTAAAATATTAGATTAAGCACAACTTTACAATACATGATCTAAATATAGTTTATATTGTAGTATTTTTTTTATTATACTACAAAATCACTGTTAACATGTATTATTAATTATTCATTATGCTCATTTTGTCTAAAAACATGAACATAAACATATAATATTAATAACTTCATCGAATAATGTCTACTATGTAGTTCACATTCGTATAAGGTCATATATAGGGTGGTATAATATATAGTGTCTGGTAACTGGTTGGACTATTGATAACCGTGGATTATCTGCGTATCAATATTAATTATTATTTATTTATATTATAATATG